TTTAACAGTTAGGTGTATTGCTGCTCGACCATTGGAGACTTAGGCGTTACCTGTTTGCGGTAGAACCAAGAGTTAACACACTCTTTCTGAAAATGGTTTTCAATTAATCCCGAAGGATAAAAAGGTTTGATGTTTTAGTTTTTGTGTTTTTTTAAACAAGAAGTGAATTGAGTTATGTTTGTAACTCATGTTGCACTAAAGACTATGACTTGTGAATGAATGCGTCGCATATCGCCCAAAGGGCATACGCTAAACACTCTAGACAGTTGAGAGGAGTCCCCCAACCATCATTTCGCAAGTACTTAAGGCTTGTAGCGTACAACACATGTTATCCTTTATTAGATGTTTTGAAGTGTTTAGGAGATGAGAAGAGAAAGACACAGACTAAGGGGAAACTGGACCCTAATGTTATCATACACAATGCTTCTAAAGTTAGGATAAAGGGAAGAAACTATCCTAATATTGTCATGCAAAGGATTGAACACCTAATGTCTCTCCTACTCGCATCTTAAACAGAGGGACTAGGAATCCTAAGGGGATCAAGGTAAGAGGCCAAGTAAGCAACAGATAATTCACTCACAGATGAAATGAAAAATGAAAGGAAGTTGACTTAAACAAGTCAAAGGCAATGCAAACATGAGATGTAAGATGCAAAGAAGAAATGCAAGACTCAAAAGATGCAACAAAGATGAAGCAAAAGGTTCAAACGAAAGGACTTAAACAAGTCCAAAAGAGTGAGATGAAATGGGAGAAGTTACAACTCCTACAACCATTCAAACATCAATCACTATAACCAAAGTTAAACACAAAGCAAGACCAAAAAGCCATGATCAAAAGGGAGGTGGGAGAAATAGGCTTGGGCAGCAAGAAACATACAAAGCATCTCAACCAAACCACACAAGTTGACCATGTAAGAGAAAGAAGCAAAACAAGGCAAGAAACAAAACATCATTCAAGGCAAACTCAAAGTATGAAAAATGAATCAAATCATCTTGAATGATGATCAAACCCTAAAGGGCAGAAGTGGAGCACAATGTAAATGACCCAAATCAAAGTTAAAAATAAAGTACAAACATCAACCAAGTCATGGCAAGTGGTGGAAACAAAGTTTCATCACCAATTCAACACTTAGAAACAAAGTGGAAATGCCTAACTTCTAGGTAGCTTGTGAAGCAAGTTAAACACATGTATGACCTAACAAATGGAAAACCAGCCCCTTGATCATGTTATGAACATGTAACAACACTCATAAGATGCATATGGGATCATTAGGAATCATTTCCCGAAGAAACTAGGTCAAGCTATCTTGTATGAACACCTTCAAAAGTGACTTGACTTGCAAGGTTCATTAAAAATGGAAGGATTGTTCAATAAATACCAAATAAATTACACAAAGTAGCTAAGACCAAAGGAAAACAGAAGCCAAAGTTTCAAAATGAAACTCACCTCAAGGCATCACCAAACAATTCCATTGTTAAGGGTGCTCCACCTTATCGAGGGTTTATCGAGAGTCAATAAAAGTCAAAGCAAAACCTCATAAAAATGATCATTGACTAATCAAATTCACCCTCAAAAATGCCTCAATACCTCACCTAAATGAGGGAGAAGCAATGGTTATAGGGGATTTAAAATTGAAGGCAAATGGTCAAGATCAAAATAGGGTATACACCATAAAACTTATGACTTTGTAAAATTCAAATAAAATGATAAAATAAAATGAAAAATAAAATAAAAATATGGAAAAAATAAATAACATATCAAACTGTCAAGAAAATATTTTTTGGGAATTTTATGAATTAAAGAACTATTTTTAAATAAATAAAATAGAAACTAGAAATAAAATGAAATAAAAAAGAAAATAAAACAAGGAGGGGTGTAACAGGCAAAAAGCAAGTGAACTGAACCATGTGTTACCACGTTTGAGCCCAGAAACGTGGGTGTGCAGATAGTAAAATAATTTGAGCCCAAACCAAAGTCTGGACAAAACCAAACACCACGCTGTCCTCATTAAATGAGGTGGCGATGAGTCATACGCATGGACAAATGAAAACGAGACAACACAAGATTTCAAATTCAAATAGAGGCGCCAACAGCCAGCTGTCATACCCCAAATTTGTCCTACCTTTTTCAAAATTTTCATTTGCCCGACTTTGCTTTTAATTTACCTCGCTTATACAGCGTATCATATTTTTCAGCAAAAATAAACATTTTCATTTTTTAGCCCAATAAGAGCATGTCACGTGGCATTTGTTTTTGTATTTATTTATCAATATTTTTTGTTTCATAATTATATTTTTTTATGATATGTTAATATAATATTTTTAATATTAATTTTAATTATGAATTATATTAGAATATTAATTAAAATTTAGGATTAGAGTTATTAATTAAATAGAATTTAAAAAAAATAGATTTTATTAGAATTTTAATAGTTTTAGAAATTAGAATAGAATATTAGATTGTTAGAAATATATGTTTTTTTTTAGAAACTAGAACTTATATTTTAACTTTAAAATTAATCTTTTTATTTTAAATAGTTTAGAATTTTTTTATAGAAATAGTTAGATTTTGTTTTAAGTAGAAAATAGATTGTTAATTTAGATATAGAATTTGGAATAGTTTTTTTATTAGAATATAGAGTTTAAAGTTAGAGTTTTAGTTATTTAATTAGTTTTAGAAATTATAATTTTAATTAAGAATTTGAGTTAATTAATAGATTTTGAATTAGATTAGATTAATTTAGAAAATTAAATTTGTTAATATTAATTAAATTTGAAATTAGAATAGAATAGTTTTAGAGTAAAAATTAAATTTGAAGTAGTTTTTGGATAATGTTAACTTGTGCTTTAAGGGCACATGTTAAAAAATCTATAAATAGAAAATCTGTATTGAAAAAAGTAATAAAAGAATTAATTATAAATTTTTGAAAAAAATAATACACAAATTTCAAAAAAATATTTTTATATTTAGTTTTTAACCTGTGCCCTTAGAGCACAATTAACATCACCCATAATCTATTTATATCTTGTTTCAAAACTCAATAAATTATTTAATATTTTAATATCTATCGATTAACGTATCTAGATCTCTCAAAAATGGTACCAAGATGGACCATATTTAGTACAAAAATGACTTTCATAATAATAGTAAATAAGAATGAAAATAATATTTTATTAAAATATTTTGGACAAGTAATTTCTTGGAATTAGACAATTTTTATTTTTTTTACTATGAATTAGATCCTAATTAACACTCCTACAACATAACAGAATCATCTTAGCGAAATAGTATAATTAAGTTAAAAGATCTCGCCGCCGTGTTACCTCCGTCGTCATCGCCGTCGGAGAACAAACACATTACAACTCTCACACTTCACTCTCCGTCTCTCCGATCCATCACAAGCAACGGTTCTCTTTCTCTCTCTTCCTCTCTCTCTCTCTCTCTCTCTCTCTCTAACTATTTCTTTGACTTTGCATTCTTATCTCCATTCCTACCTGTCTTTTGTCTTTTCCTTCACACCATTTCTTCATATTACCCTCTCACTTCCTTCAATTTGGCGTTGACCTATTTTATTCGAAGCCTCCATTGTTGCTTACTGTAATTTGATCTATTCCCCTTCAATTCATCATGCATTCTTTACTCTTTGCTGTGTTGTTTCAATTTTTTTCTTCATAACAGTATTGGAAATGAAGGAAATGGGAATCACGATTTGTAACAAAATAGAGAATCTTGTTCCCATGTGTTTTTGTTTGTTAATTTCTATGCATAATGATTGTGTTAATTAAATGTTTTCTTTTTTTGCAGTGTTTACCATGATGTGAATTTTTTTTTACTGACGTGTATTTTCTTCATTTTCACGGTTTCATTAAGATTCTTATCTTAAAGTTTGGTTTTTTCTTATCTACTTCACTAGTGTGTGTGTGTTGTGTTTCATTCTTCTTCTCTCTATTTTCTCCCTAGGAATCATAAATTGATTTTATGGTTTATGTTTGATGCTATGAATGGTTGACTTTTTATAGGTATTTAATTTGATGAAATAGTTGATTAGAATCATATTGCACTTTAGTTGTTAATGTTATTGCATCTTGGTACAATTCAATTGATGGATTCATTTCAAAATTTGATTCTATCTTTCTTAGGATTTAATTTGTATGTACTAACAATTTAAATTTCTTATATTCAGTCCATCACAATCGTTAGATCATTAAAGCATTCGACTTTAATCTAGAGTAGTCAATAGCAGCGCTATCCCGCTATAGCGGAGCAGAGTGGAAGCCACCCGCTATGGGAAGAGCTTTAGCAACCGCCATAGGGTAAATAGAGGGATAGTGGAGCAGAGCGGTTTCTGGCCATCTATCCTTATCCTCTCTAAAAAACCATAGTTACCCCTTCAAATTTTTGACGTTTTAGGGGTAATTTTGGGGTTTTCAATCAAGTTTGAATTGAAACTCAACCTTAACCTTCCTTCACAGTCGATTATGCACTTCAAGAGTCATGTGTGCTTGTGTGCTTTGATTTATGAATATTTTATGAGTTGAGTTATTTGTTTAATTTTACATTAAATATCTGTCTTTAATTATTACTATATGTAGTTTGTCCAAAAAGTGATCAAATAGAGCGGTCATCCCGCTGCACTCTATCCCGCTATCCTACTTTTGGTGTCGGCGGCCCCGCGCCGCTATCCGGGAATGACTATTCTGTTTTAATCATATCTACCTCATACAAAAAGCAATTTGTGATTGGTTAACGGTGTAAAAAGGTTTACACGGAGAGTGTTGCAAAACTAATCTGTTTTTCGTGTTGTGCACTTTGATTACATGTTTAACTTTTAGTTTTGGTTATTGGATGCACAGAAGAATATTCATCGGTTTTTATAGTTCTTATATTAAAATGAGAAATTTGTTTTTTCACAGATCTGAGTGTTTGTTTGTTGTTCTATTGAGAACTGAGGAAGGTTCAGGCACATGATATTTTGATATCTCTCTTGTGATTGGAAGACCATGGGACGAGCTTCACCATTACTTGTAATATGTTTGGTTCTTGGTTCTTCCTTTGCTACATACAATTTGGTCACAATGATAATCCACTATGGATCGTTAGAAAGTGTAGCTACCGAGGATGGTGGATTGTTTTTTGACCCTATTATCGAGATGCCTGAACATGTGAAGAACCGAAAAACATCTAAAGTACCGTTTCATATTGCGCTAACGGCTACCGATGCTATGTACAGCAAATGGCAATGCCGCATCATGTATTACTGGTATAAGAAACAAAGGAGTTTACCCGGGTCAGAGATGGGAGGATTCACTAGAATTTTGCATTCTGGAAAGGCTGACAACTTGATGGATGAAATTCCTACTTTTGTTGTTAATCCTCTTCCGAAAGGTCTAGACCGGGTGAGGCTTGTTACTATGACTTTCAGTTATACTCTTATATGTTTTATCGTTATTTCTGTATTGTTTTCTGGCATATTGAATAAATAGTATTGTAGTTGCTGTTAAAACTATGACCTGTTTGGATTAGCTTATATGAGTTTATCTACTGATATAGACAGTTGTGAAACTATTTTGGAGAGTTTATCAATATAGCTTATGACCTGTTTGGATTTTTTGTTTTTTCAGCAGTGAATACAATTTATATAATTTCCGACACATTGCTTAATTTTTGCAGGGATATGTCGTTCTGAATAGACCATGGGCTTTTGTTCAGTGGCTGCAAACGGCCAAAATAGAGGAAGAGTTAGATCTCTTATCCTAAGTGATCTTCTTTTTATTTGTTTGACAATAGTATAAGTTCACTTAGTTTCTGTGCTTTTGATGCAGATATATTTTAATGGCAGAACCTGATCACATATTTGTACGCCCTCTTCCCAATCTGGCATATGGAGCACATCCAGCTGCTTTTCCATTTTTTTATATTAAGCCGGAGGAGAACGAAAAAATAGTAAGGAAATATTACCCTGAGGAAAAGGGACCGGTTACAAATATTGATCCGATTGGCAATTCTCCTGTAATTATCAGAAAGGTAGAATCTCACGGAAATTTCTATTTAATTGAATTGAATCAATACTTGTTCTCGATGGTAGAGTAGACATCCCCTGTATTTAATATTGTTCTGGGTTACTAATTCTATTGGTTACTGGTGCACCCGTTATCTATGTAGCAGTGACACCTCATATTAAAGGGTATCTAGTGTTAGGCACATGTCCAATGTCAGGCATTGACACGACACACAAAGGCCGAGGGTTGTTAATGGTTACAGGTGCTTGATTCCTGCTAGAATTTTAGAAGATTTTTAACCCTTATGGCATATTGGAATTTTGTGCTTTTTAACTCAGTGCATATTGCAGTGTCAAAAAGAATCAAACTCGGTCCATATTGGAAGCCATGAGATTAATGATCACACTTTCTCAAATTATTAGGTGTCGATGTGTCCATATAATTGACGTGTCTGGTGTTTATATCTGTATATGTGCCAATGATTATAGCTTGTTAAGTTGAAAGATCTTAATGCCAATACATTCGATATAGACTTCTATTTCACTGTACCCTGAATCTTGTGAATATGTTGGTTCGATAGGACCGAGCATGTAAATACTTTTTGCTCACTTAGTGAGGGGTGCACTTTTTCTTTTTCAGGATTTGATTTCAAAAATTGCTCCCACATGGATGAATGTTTCATTGGATATGAAAGAGGATCCAGAGACCGATAAAGAGTTTGGTTGGGTGTTAGAAATGTATGGCTTGCCAATTAACAAACATATGCTGCAGATTCTTTATTTTCTTAAAATATTATTGATATTTTGATGCTGATGCGGTGTTCTGTATTCTTGAACCAAGGTATGCTTATGCTGTTGCATCTGCCCTGCATGATGTGAAACATATTCTACGGAAAGACTTCATGCTACAGGTTTGATATAACATTGTATACATATAGCTCTTGCTGTTGTATTTTGTTTATGTTATTCATATCCAACTCTGATTTTACTTTTCTTGTATGTTACCTTTCAGCCACCGTGGGATCTCGAAACTTACAATAGGTTCATTATTCATTATACTTATGGGTGTGACTACAGTTTAAAGGTACATTATTTCTCCTAATCTTTGAACTGCAAAATCATGGTCTTTGAACATTCCTTGTAAACACTAGCTACTTTGAATATTCCTTATGGTTATCCTCAATGAACACAACTGATCTCCCGAAAGCTTCTGTGCCATGAAACTTTGCTTTAGCAGATACAAACTTTTATTGTATACACTAGCTACTTGGTATGGTGTAGGTTACGTGTCTCTTTTGGTACTACTCTTAATATTGCTTCATAATACTCAGGGTGAATTGACTTACGGTAAAATTGGCGAGTGGCGATTTGACAAAAGGTCACATTTAGAAAGACCCCCACCAAGAAACTTGCCTTTACCTCCTCCAGGTGTTCCTGAAAGTGTGGTATGTCTACAGCTTGCTAGTTTATTTACGAAATTCATCTTATTTGGATGGTATTAATCATAAATGTAAGTAACATAAAATTAAACCTAAGAGATTATAAACCAACACTATTGAACAAATCCGTTTATGGCAAAACCGATACATGTGATTACGTTCAATTTATTTATTTTTTCAAATTTTTACTGGTGTGAACGTGTGTCGTGTCTGGTGTATGTGTCTGCGCTTCTTAGTTATTAATCTTCAGACAGCGCACATGATAAAAAGCTGTGTTATCTCTCCTTTAAAGGATTTGTCTGAAGCTTTTCTGCATTGCTGTGTCTCAGTGTTCATCAAACTGACCCCAAGGCATTGCCTTTTTGCAAATGTGGTTTGTTCTACAAAAATTATCTGTTTGTTATAACAATTAGCTAATTAAGCACCCCACTTTCAGTTAAGTATAATTTGTAAAATGGACATGAAATGTAAATTAGCATTATTAGTAAAATGGAGTACATGAAATGAAATGTAAATTAGAGGCAAATAATACTATTTAAGAGATAAAATTGAAGAACAAATCATATTACAAATCTCATAGTTTAAGACAGAGATTGAGTGAGATGTAAAACACTATATTTGAGAAAGGTGAATGAAAACTGTTCTGCTTTGGAATTAAATGATGATCGGAGAGGTTGAACTGGAGTGAAACTGCGGCGGTTCAAAGTTTTGATGCGGTGGAGAGGGGCTGACCTTCAAGGTTAGCACTTCAACGTCCAAGTCAATAAGAGAGTGAGAAGTGTAGTGCAACTGGAAAATTAAGTCAATAACTCCAACATCCAAGTCAATAAGAGAGTGAGAAGTGTAGTGCAACTGGGAAATTGAGTTCGTACCTAAGAAATGGCGTGTTAACTCCTTTAAATAGAAGAGTTACTAGATGGCAACTGAATGTGAGTGTGAGCGTAAGATGCGGATGACTGTCAGATGGGTCTGGATTAGGAGTGTTCATTGGTTCGGACAAATCCGAACCAAACCGGAATCCAAACCAAACCATAGTATTTGGTTTGGGAAAATCCAAACCAAACTGAATCCAAATCAAACCATGATATTTGGGTCGGGCGTTTTCTTAGTCGGGCAAAAACCGAACCAAACCAATGAAATCCGATTTTAATTGGTTTGGGAAACGTATTTCCGAAATTCTACCAGCGAGCCCGTCTACCCGAACCAACTATATTAATTCATATAGTTTAGATCATTCTCATGAAAAATAGTATAAGATATTCAACTTTAAGAAGTTGAAAAATGAAACGACATTGTGATTTTTGCAACCTATATGCAGAAATGAAAAAAATTAAAAAATTAATATTATTATAAAAAATTAGTTGATGTAAATAACAAAAATTTTTAAAAATATTTTTGCATATTTGTTTTTAATGTATCCGATCAATTCAACTCAAACCAACCCGTTATTTCTCGGTTTGGTTCGATTTGGGCTTTATCTAAAAAACGTGAAAATCCAATCCAAACCAATCCATATATTTTTGATCGGTTTGGGCATCGGATTCTCTCAAAACCAAATCAAACCGGCCCGCGAACACCCCTTGTCTGGATGATGAGGATGAGTTTTGCGAATGAGCCGATCTGAGTGATGCGAGTCATAGAATCCATCCACCCTTCGCCTTGTTTTGCATTCTCCCAATATTGATCCTCTGTGCCTTTTTGGGCCTATTGGTCGGCCCAATGCAAAATCAAAGAATGCTTCTAACGTAATTTGTGATAGAAAAGTACTCTCTCGGGTCTTATTTATAAGAAAAAAATACTTTTTAAATTTATTGAATAGACTATGTATCTGATCTATATATTGTTCAGATACATTAGTTATCAATGTATTTAAAAAGTAAATTTTTTTCTTATAAATAGGATCAAAGAGAGTATTCAAGCATAAAGGAAATTTTACCACATTAATATAACTTCCAATGATATGCAAGAGTAAATGTTGCGTGATAAAGAGGCAATAAGTAAGTTAGTTCAATAAAGATAAGAATAAAAATGTATGTTGGATTTGTGGTCACACAAGACATGATAGGAACAGGTATGAAAGCATTAGAAAAGAAGTTGGAATGACGCCTATTAGGAAAGAGATGGTGATGTTTTGTCATAAGTGGTTTGAACATGTGTGGGGAGATCACATAGAAGTGTCCAAAACGAAGCGGACTTAGATCCCCCACAGCCACTGCACATTGCAGTGTTTTGTAGAGGGGCCGCAACCAGATTAGAAGTCCAATGACCCGTTATTAAATTTTATTCATGACAGGACATTATGCTAGTATTTTTTTATCCACATAGCTTATCACACTTAGCAAAAAATGATTGTTATTATTGTCATTTATATTGTATTTGGCTGTCAAATTATAACACTGTTTCCACTGAGAGATCTCTTTCATGCTGCAGTTTTGGGTTGAAGTAATATAAACCTTTCTCTTTGTTCTTACTTTCATACTTTTGTTGCTTTAACCACCATAGCCTCCACTTATCAAATAAAAAAAATCAATAGCCTTCAATTTTAAGTGTTCTTCAGACATCTTTTAATGCTTATCATTTTCAGCCCTTTCTTCTTAGTGTCGCTCCATTTCATCTTGTCCATTATTTTTAGCTAAGCTTGATACCTCATGTCATTATGGTATTTTCCCCTAAGCTTAATCCCTTATGTCATTGTGCTATTCCAGCATAGAGAAGTGTGTTAGTCTTCGGTTTTTATACAGATCTGACTCATTCCTACAAAACCGGCTTGTAAATGTGAGAGGGGCCACTTTATATAAATTTTAATCTATGTAAAACTTGTTTTATTTTTCCAATACACTTTGTCACACAATTGCTATTGCGCTTGGTAGGTGGCCCGAATCAATAATCTTTGATACCATAATAAACTCTTATATTAGGCCAAACTCATTCTTGCGATACCGACTTTTTTTCCCAACGAGTCTTTTATAGGGCCCTTACTTTTATAATTGAAGCAAAATCATGATATAATGCATTATTAACTAGCCTTTGTTTTTGCTTGTTATAAAATTGTCAGGTGACTCTGGTAAAGATGGTGAATGAAGCTTCTGCTAACATCCCCAATTGGGATACATTGTAAATATTTTGATTTATTCTTTCATGATATTTAAAATGCATGTTTTGATAGTTCTAAAAAAGTGTAGACATCGAGACAATAGTTTATATTTTTCTTCCTTGTTTAGTCATAGAACATTGAACATTTTGCACCAAATACCTCATTATACACTTTTAATTAGATGATGATTTAAACGAAGGATTAAACTTTGTTTTCGAGGTGATATTCTTGAAAGAGACCACAATGCCGAATAATTTCTTCAAGTAACATTGGATTTATACTTTTTGGATTGAAGTAGTATTGAAAAATGAGTATGTAGTTGGTGTCTCTTTAATGAATTAGATTATGGTTTGATCCTTAGATGTAGTAGATGGCTTTTGTTGTTTATATGAAGATATTTGATCCATTATTATTTTGTCATGTGTTGGTACAAATTGTAAAATGTACCATCATACAACATGTCATGATGTCCAAAATGTCACAAAACAACTTAACATATGAAGTAATCATTATAAGTTAATGTTGATTCACTAAATCAGACTGATCTGTATTAAAGCTTCCTCAGTCATGTTATCAGTAATATCTAAGAAAATTTGACATGGAGGTGTAGCAGCTTCACTAGATGATCAACACTCTAGTTGTCTTCATTGAAAGTATGAATCATCTTTAACATGTCTTCCACCAAGGGACTGAGGTATACATGCATTTGGTGATCCTCAAACTGACCATATTCAGGATAACTTCAAAATTCATAGAGACTTTTGCTTTGGCTTTAGACGGGGTCCGGCTAGTAGACAGTGGGATTGATTCTGTTGCATTAGTCAGTCACAAGGAAAATAAAAAGATAGAATTCCATCTGATAGAAAGATGCTACAACACTTAAACAATGGAAATGAAAAAGAAAGAAGAATGCACTTGTGAACACTAAAGTGTGTGTTTCTATAGTATCCAATTTGCTAATGTGTATATACTAGATGCAAATTGAATGCCCAGCAAAATTATTTTTTCATTAATCTAAAGTTTATTTTATTGTTGTGTGCGGATGTGAATTTGACATTTGGTAGATATATTTTTAAATTCAGAAGTTTTTATTTACAAAAGTTTAAATCACGTGATATCTATTTTTTTTTACAAAAGTTTAATCAAGTATTTTATATAGAATTTAATTTTAAAAAAACTGATAATGTAAAATGATTTTACACCTTCGATTAATTATAGACGTTGAATGTTTTAAAGAGTTTGACTTTTATTTCTATTATTTATAAAGTAATATAAATGAATGATGGTGATGAATTGACAATGTTTACACAAATAATACATAGTAATTAATCTCTTTTATATATAATTTAAAATTAGAAAATGAGGTGCTGCAATTAGAAAAATTGATGGGATAAGAAAAACTTTTCTCCCACCCTTTTTGATACTTGGTGCGGACCACTATTTTATTTGAATTTTTTGTTTTTATTTTGTTAAAGTTATAAATTCTAAATTTAATATGGACATTGATATAATAAAATTTTGTGTCATAATTTGTCATAATGTATCATAATTAGATAATAGATTTAAGATTATATATATATATATATATATATATATATATATATATATATATATATATATATATATATATATATATATATATATATATATATATATATATATATATATATATATATATATATATATATATATATATATATATATATATATATATATATATATATATATATATATATATATATATATATATATATATATATATATATATATATATATATATATATATATATATATATATATATATATATATATATATATATATATATATATATATATATATATATATATATATATATATATATATATATATATATATATATATATATATATATATATATATATATATATATATATATATATATATATATATATATATATATATATATATATATATATATATATATATATATATATATATATATATATATATATATATATATATATATATATATATATATATATATATATATATATATATATATATATATATATATATATATATATATATATATATATATATATATATATATATATATATATATATATATATATATATATATATATATATATATATATATATATATATATATATATATATATATATATATATATATATATATATATATATATATATATATATATATATATATATATATATATATATATATATATATATATATATATATATATATATATATATATATATATATATATATATATATATATATATATATATATATATATATATATATATATATATATATATATATATATATATATATATATATATATATATATATATATATATATATATATATATATATATAAAGATAAATGAGAAAACACAAACATTTCATTATTTTATATGGTATGACTATAATCAGTCCATATCTTTTTCTCTTTCTCAAGCCCCCACACGTAAAACAGAGATGCACACCTCTTTCCATCGCACCATCCAGCTTACAGTCTCCGCACCCTTCCCCCATCGTGTCGCCCAGCTTATCGCCCCCGAGCGCCGCCTAGCCTGTTGTCACGTTTTCTCATACGCCACCGCACACAAAACAACATGATCACCCTCTTCAGGCTGATAACATCACACACGTCAATCTTATTTGCGTCGTCATTCATTTCTTCGCTCCTGCATCCTTTGTCCGTGCACTCCCTTTTCTCACGCAATGCCTGAGTCTGATCGCAGTGGCAATTACCCCAATAACAGAAACACCACTTCTTTTAGTCATGATTTCAGCAAGGTGACACACTCCATTTCCTCATCGCCAATTTCCAAACCAGAGTTTTATCCTACCCTCACTATTTCAAATACTAAGAATCATATTTCTATTGTTCTTGAGATGGAGAAAGACCAATGTGGCACTTAGGCTGAGCTTTTCCGCATCTATGCCCGCTCTCATCAGGTTCTACATCTTATTATACCCTCTAAGGACAAGACATCACCGACATATACCTCTAGTGTCGAGTATGAACATTTGACCACCTTTAACTATACCTTCCTTCAATGAATATATTCCACAATTTCCACTAACCCACTGACCCCTATCTTGGAACCAGACACCACTGCTATGGCAGCTTGGAATAGTTTGGCTGAAAATTTTCAAGACAATTTGAATACTCTTGATGTCGCCCTTGAGCAAGAATTCTCTAAGACTCACATGAAGAATTTTTATAATGGCTCTGCTTACTGTTATCATCTTAAGATGCTCTCTGACCAATTGAGGAATGTCGGCTCTTGCATCAACAATCACCGTCTGGTTCTTCAACTGATATCTGGTATTCTAGAAACTTACCCTAATGTTGCCATCTTTATTTGCCAAAGAAACCACATTCATGCATTCTATCAGGCTTGTTCCGTGCTCATTTTGGAAGAAGTCGATATGGCTAAAATGAAAAGCATCGCTTCTTATGCTTCCATGCACACCACTCAACATCGACTTTATGAAGACACCTCTCAGCATGTCCATAACAACTGCCACCTCGGAAACCACTGTCGCTTTTGCGGCAACTAGGGTCGCGGCGGGGACATGGAAATCGTAGTGAACCTTAGCCTGAAGCTCCCAACAACTTTCCATCATGGTCCTTTCTCCTTTGGCTTTACTTGGCATGTCGCGAAAAATACCCTAGCGCATCGCACGCTCGATGATACAACATAGTCGCCATCAAACTTTATTTATTCTAAAAAGAAAGGAAAAATATCGATAAAATCCAAAGGAAAGAGAAATGAGTAAGGGAGTCGGTTATGCGAGGGAAAGATATTAGCATCCCTCACATTTGGTGTACTTAACGGGAACCGTTTTACTTGTTTTCTGGGTGAATGGGTGTTACTATATAAAGATTACTTGTGAAAGGGGAAAAAAGGTTTAAATTAGTGTGCTCGCGGAGGATTGGGGCCCTCGTGCCTACTATCCTGATGGTACAATGAAAAAATCAGAGCTACGTAGTTCGTGGAACTAAAAAGGAAAATAAAAGTGGTGTTTAAACCAAGAGTATGAATAAAGGTGTTTAGAAGTGATAAAAGTGGTGTTTAAATTGAACAGGAGATGAAAATGGTGTTTAAACCAAACAGAAATAAAAGTGATGTTTAAACCAAAGAAGTAATAAGAGTGGTGTTTAAACCAAATGGACGGTGTTTAAATCAAGAGAGTGGTGAAAGTGGTGTTTAAACTAAAGGAGAGATAAAAGTGGTGTTTAAACTAGGTAGCAGTGTTTAAATTAGAGAAGAAATAAAATTGGTGTTAACACTAGATAAATGATAAAAATGGTGTTTAAACCAAAGAAGAGATAAAAGTGGTGTTTAAACCAAAAGAGAGAAGAAAGTTGTGTTTAAACCAAAGAGGTAATAAATGTGATGTTTAAATTAAATAGGAGAAAATGTGGTGTTTAAACCAATGAGCAATTAAGGTGGTGTTTAAACCAGGAAAGTGGTGTTTAAACCAAAGAAGTGGTGTTTAAACCGGAAAAGTGATGTTTACACCAAATAAGCAGTGTTTAAACTGGAAAAATGGTGTTTAAACTGAAAATTTGGTGTTTAAACTAAGGAAGCGGTGTTTAAACCAAATAAGTGGTGTTTAAATTGAAAAAAATGGTGTTTAAACCAAAGAAGCGGTTTTTAAAACGGAAAAGTGGTGTTTAAAACAAAGAAGCGATGTTTAAACAAAAAAAAGAAGTTGTGTTTAAACCGGAAAAATGGTATTTAAACAAAAAAAGAGGTGTTTAAACCGGAAAAATGATGTTTAAACTAAATAAACGATGTTTAAATCAGAAAAGTGGTGTTAAACCAAAGAAGCAGTGTTTAAACCGAAAAAGTGGTGTTTAATTCAAAAAAGTAGTGTTTAAACCGGAAAAGTGGTCTTTAAACCAAGGAAGCAGCGTTTAAACTAGAAAAGTAGTGTTTAAACAAAGGAAGCAATGTTTAAATCGGAAAAGTGGTATTTAAACCAAGGAAGCAGTGT